GACAGACCTCCATTCATTGCTTCTATCGGCGAGGTTGGGTTCTGCCAGAATACCAATACCAGCTTGACCGCGCGTCTTGATATCGACACCTGAGTAGAATAGCTTCCACCAACAGAGGTTGAGAATTTCAGAGCCTTGGCGTTTCGTTGACGAGAGTCCAAGTATGTTTATTTGGTCACCTCCAACTAACTCCTCTTTTTCTCTGAGTGAGAGTGTGCTTCCGTTTCCAGCTGTCAGCTGCCGCTGTCGGTGCTGTTCCCGTGGGGATTTATCTGACGTTGTATGATGGCCTTGTTGTTTACCTCTTCCGTACGAACGGGTAACAGCTCCGTTGCTGACTTTTATTTTCGTTGTCTTTTTGTCAATCTTCGGTATTTGTTGTCATGTTGCTACGGCTGCCAGAAGACGGGAAGTAGGCTCTGATCGCCCATTTCGTGGCCTGCGTCATTTCCTCAACAGCTGTCGTGATTTTTGGCAACCAGGGCAAGGGTCGAGCCAGTATAATGTTCGACTAGTTCAATATTATGAGGGACATGTGGCTAAGTGTCGGGTAGTACCTCATCACATTCTCCAACCCTCGTCGTTTTTCATCTGGGCTTAGGACTGGTAACGGCGGAGTTACGTTACCGAAATCGTATTACGGTACGAAACCAATTTGTCTGATGCTGTGCAATATCACAGGCCAAAAAACGCTGAATTCAAGTAGCTTACTGCTGTTAGGTTTTTGCTGAATTTTGAAAGCAGCTGTTTTCTGATTGAATCTACGGAAGTTTCAGAAAGCTGTGTCTCTTTCGATGCTTTCCTTGTAATGTAATAATATAGTATTTTTCATTTATTCTTTACCAGTTCAAAAAGATACAAGTGCAAACTCGATCCCTTCTCAAACTGTTGTTTAGGTGATCATTGAACGGTTCGATAGCGAGAAGTACTTGCCGAATTTGGACCGTTGCAAGTTTCTGGTTCCCAGCCATGTCAGCATGAATGAATTGATGCAGATCGTCAGGCGCCGTCTGCAGCTGCACGCCGACCAGGCGTTCTTCTTGCTGGTCAACGAGAAAAGCTTGGTGTCGAATAGCGTGACCATGGCTGAGGTTTATGAGTCCGAACGCGACAGTGACGGCTTCCTGTACGTCGTCTATACGTCGCAGCCAGGCTTCGGATGACGCCATCCGACCTGACCCCACCCGAATGACCGCTTACCGTAATACCGTATCATGTAACACGAACTTCATCTGAAAACACTGGTCGTTTTTAGTCCCGTTGCCTGGTTAGCAACATGTATTTGCAAGTTATATACTTTTTATGCGTATATTTAAATGTATTGTCATGTTTCATATTTCGGCACATGATTCTTCAGCGCACGTTATGTATTATTTTAAACTTATATGTTTTACAAGGTTATTATTTTGTCTTCTTTGTGCAGTTTTCGAGTATTTACAATAAGTGGGATCTAAAATACGAATCAGGACATTTTTACCATTCGAAGATAACGATGGAAATGGTTAGGTTGTTTTTGTAGTTCAATTCTGTGTATGCTTGAGCAAGTGAGTTTGTTATCGATGCACATTTTTTGCCTTAAGATAGTTGATAGTTGATAAGAGGTTCATTGAGGTCAGTGTTATGTGTCTTTTGTTTCTGCCTTTGATATTGGTACATTCCTTGTTTTCACTGTAAAAGTTCGCTGATCACTGGATCGACACATTTGTCACTGCAGTCTGCCATACGTGCGAGGGTTATGCGAATGCAAAGCAGCAAATGTTCTATTCACTGCGTAGAAGTTTCGTCGTGTTTATCGTGGCCAGTAACAAACGATGTTGACAGCCTGTTGCAATATATCTTGCAGGGCGGTTCGAAGTACCGAGATGTTGGATTGCTGAAACGAAAAAGCGAACTCTCTTAACTAGTAATTGCCTTGAGCAAGAAATTCAGCCCATGTGCTGCCGTGCAACCCGTCAACAAATGGGTAAACAGTCACTGACCTGCAGACAACAGCATGGTCTACTGCTGGTGTGGTCATACCATAGTGGACGAGAGGTTCGGTCAACCGTTCTGAAGCAAGAAGCTCATTACTGCAATTCGTACTCACCCGCCTGATAACTGGTTATCTAACGTTATAATCTGCCTAGGGTGCAAACACGTAATACGCGATACGAAAATGGCTGGAAGTTGTGGAAGACTTCGTAGTTATTCGCGGAAATGTCGACAGCGGTAATGGCGGAACGTACGGTGATGCACAAATGCGGATTCTACAATCTAGTGAGTCATGATTAATACGAAATTTCAGAATAAATGAAATTTAATGTTAAATTTAATAGAGAACATGGTACAAGGCTGTCAGGATTCTTCGAAAACTTTGATAATTCGTTATCTGGAAGAAATTGTACCCATGCTCATAACATTTGGCCCTGAGTAGCTCGAAATTCAATGTACACAAGAGTAAGGTTCGTTTCAGCATGCGTCTCATTTATGCTTCTATCTATTACTGTCATTAAGTGTTGACTAGTTAAAACCGAATTTCCCAATTGAAGCAAAATATATAATTCAGATGATCTGGGGTAGCTTCCAAGAGTTGGAGCTTTCAATTCCGGCGGTAAATGCAACATTTCAAATACTGATGCCGGATTTACAAGGCGAAAGCGTATCGCGTTAAATGAAAAAAGATTTTTCTTACTCTGCAGCGGTACTGAGGTAGTGTTAAGTCGGGTGGAAGTCTTCACATCTGGTTGTGCCGTCCCCTTGCTTCTAGTCACATTGGGGGACGGGGGGGGCTGCATTTAAGCAGACCATGGCTCCGTAGTGTTCAAGCGTCTGCAGTGCATAGGACGAATGCACTGAGTTGAGTTGAACAAGCACATGATCAAATAAAACGGAATTTATGCAGTTATGCATGGCACAGCGGATGACAGTAGTATCGGAAAGTAGAGCCAGGTGTGATGTTGCATCGCCGACGATGACCTGGCTTTTGCCATGTGTTTGTTCTTTTCTTCTTTCCTCGGTGACATTGCCTGTTTTTTTTCAATATGGACTTGC